CCTTAGTATTTGGAATTTTACAAATTTATATCTACAAAAATTGAAATCAGATTTAGTAATTTAATTATAAAAGTATAAGGGGTGAAATTTTAATTTGATTATAAAAATGTTTTGGCAAGCGGGGGCCGAACCCAGTCCGTCACCTCTAACTATCAGTATGTAATAGGTTTTCATATTTATCCTAAAAAATAGGTTCTTATAATTGTTTCTATATTACTATCTATCTATGTATTTTATAGTTGCCCTAAAATTGACTATGTGAGGTGTGTGTATTTGTGACATATATAATAGGTGAGGAGTTGGCAAATATTTGAGTTAGTACGCTTAATATTCTATCCAACTCTTTATAGTTGAAGTTAAATAGGGTAATATCAAAAGATCATTCATTAGCTAAATTGCATAAGTATAAATAATTATACACAAAATTAACATATATATAAGCATATATTTAATGCATGGTATTTAATCTCAATAATGCTTCAACTCTACTAATAATAATTTGGTGAAGAATATGAAAAGCTAACAACTCACTAGGTTGGAAACAACTAATCATAAATAGCACTAAAATAATGATATACTGCAAAACATTGAATGGTCATTCTTTTTAATTAAGTAATTAATAAGAATAAATTATTATTATTTTTTGCAAGGATCTGTTTCCTTAGTATTTGTAATTTTATAAATTTGTATTTACAAAAATTGAAATCAAATTTAGGAATTTAATTATAAAAGAAGAAGAGTGTCATTTTAATTTAATTATAAAAACGAGTTCGCAAGTGGGGAGGGTCGGCCCCTTGGGCCGAGCTCAATTTGTCAACTCTAACTATTACCATGTAATAGATTTTTATATTTATCCTAAAAAAAAGTTCTTATAGTTGCCTCTATATTATTATCTATCTATGTATTTTATAGTTGCCTCAAAATCGACTATGTGAGGTGTGTGTGTTTGTGACATATTTAATAGATGAGAAGTTGGCAAATTTTTGAGTTAGTATGTTTAATATTTTATCCAACACTTCATAGTTGAAGTTGAATAGAATAATATCAAAAGACCATTCATTAGCTTAATTGCATAAGTATAAATAATTATTCAAAAAATTAACATATATATATATATATATATATATATATATGTATATATATAAGCATATATTTAATGCATCGTATTTAATCTCAATAATACTTCAACTCTACCAATAATAATTTGGCGAAGAATATAAAAAGCCAACTACTCACTATGTTGGAAACAACTAATCATAAATAGCATTAAAATAATGATATAACACAAAACCACTGTTGTAAAACCCGGCCTGACCCTGTCGGGTCGACCCAGAACCCGGCGAATCGGTTATCTGACCGATTTGGGTCAAGTATTGGATCGGTCATGCATCGACCCGGTCAAACCCGATCAAAACTCAGACAAAATCGGTCAAACCCGGTGACCCGGTCGGGTCATGCATTTTTTAAAAAAAGAAAAAGAAAAAATCAAAACTGTTTCATCTTATAAAAAAAATGTAAAACTCATTTTAAATTTTTTTTGTAACTTTATTTGCTAGTTTACTCTTCTACAATGACCTCTTAGTTTCCAATACTGAAGCAATTTGTGGAATAATAAATTAGAGAATGTGAAATATGTCATTTTAATGTAGTTAAATTTAAAAAATATGAGTTCAATATCATTGTGATGTATGTTTATGGGAATTCTGAGTTGCAATTTAAATTGACATAGTAATAGCATGTATTTTTATTTAATTATGCTTCATGTTTTTTAGCTTATTTAGTGAATTTTGTTTAATTCATTTTACATATGGAGAATATAATTGAATTTATATGTTCATATTTATATATATTTATATATATATATATATGGGTCGTCCGGTCCAACCAGTGACCCACCGGTCCGACCAGTGACCCAATAACCCAATACCCCGATCGGGACGATACCCGGGTTGGGTTTAACAACACTGCGCAAAACATTGAATGATCATTCTTTTTAATTGTGTAATTAATAAGTAAATATTTATTTATTTTCAAGGATTTATGGCCTTAGTATTTGAAATTTTACAAATTAGTATTTACAAAACTGAAATTAGATTTACAAATTTAATTATAAAATATGAAAGGTGAAATTTTAATTTAATCATAAAAACGTGTAGACGGGCGGGGCAAGCCAAGCCCAGTTTGTCATTTCTAATTATCAGCAATTTATATTAGCTTGTAATAGGGTTTTATATTTATCCACACAGGAAAAGATTCTTATAGTTACTTCTAGATTACTATCTATCTATGTTTTTTATAGTTGGCTCTAAATCGACTTTCTAAGATATGTGTATTTGTGACATATATATTAAATGAAGAGTTGACAAATATTTGAGTTAGTACATTTAATATTTGAGTCAAACTTAAAATCGTGTGTCCTTTAACTTGAAGTCTATCTCCTTATTTTTTATTTAACATTTACGTGTGTCTTTAAATTTTTGTAAAATATACTTTTTATCATGTATTTTACAAAACCATTTTATTTTTAAATTTTTTATAATAAAAAATTCGATTTATTTCCTTTAATTTATGTCTACGAATAATTTATTTTAAAAGCTTTAAAAAATAAGTTTAAAAAATAGATATATTGTAAAACACATGCAATAAAAAACAAACCAAGTCCTCACCAAAAACAAAAAACAAACCAAGTTGTGCATGGTTAAAATATGTTTTCCATTAAGTGTTTTTTAGACTATTTTTGCATCCTTGCATTTTATAGACTGTTTACGATAACTATTTCTCCATTATGAATGTTCAACAGAAGGATCAAGAAATAACTTTAATGATATATATATATATTTTAAACTTATTATTTGAAAACTAATTTTTAAGCTTATAACAAAAGCATTAAGGTCTTAAAACATAAAATATAAAATAGATTAATTATTATCTAAAAAAATTATTGTTGGTAAAAATGAAGTATTATTGAGATTAAATATGATGCATTAATATAATGCTTATATACAATTATTTATTCTTATAATTAAGATAAGTATATTGGCACGCTATAGGTTACATCCAAAAAACACATATATAAGGTGGATTTTTAAACTTTGGCATTGAATTGAATCAGAAAATCACAAAACTATTGTCAACATTTTTAAAGTGAAATTTTAAACTTAGTTTTGTATTAAACTTATAGAAAAATATTTCTGTAATTACTGTAGATAAGTTATCTGAATTTATTCCCAAAACGACATCGTTTTGGAATTGAAATATTAAAAAATTATAATTATAAAGACTATAATAAGCCTGAAATAAATTAAAATTACAAACACACCATGATTTCTGTCCTAAAATGACGTCGTATTGGGCTTACTGCATATAACTTATCTGCAGTAACTGCAGAAAAAGCGAACCCTTATAGTTTAAAGTTTCTAACAAAATAATGTTTTGTTTGTTTTTTGTAGTAGCGAAATTGATAGGCTTAACAATTTTCCATGCAGAAAGTAATGTGATTTTATATTGGTAATGAATGCTAAACTGTTTTTCCACTAATCAAGTTCAAAATACAAATTTGAAAAGTTTTGTAATTTTGTAATGATTGCTGAACTCTTTTCTCAACCATCAAGTTAAAAATTCAAATTTGAAAAGTTACTAAATTGGAAAAATTAAAAGACCATTCACTAGCTTAATTGCGTAAGTATATTTTAGTATTCACAAAAGTAACATATATATATATATATATATATATATATATATATATATATATAAGCATATATTTAATGCATCGTATTTCATCTCAATAATACTACAACTCTACCAACAATAATTTAGTAAAGAATATGAAAAACCAACTACTTTCTAGACGTTAAGCAAATGGTCGAATTTAAAAAAAAAAATTAGTATCTCAAATTTTATAAATTAGTATTTACAAAATTAAAATCAGATTTAGGAATTTATTACACACCTGACACATCCATTCAAAGAATATTTATTTTTAAGTTAGTTGTGAGAATCATTACTAAAGTTTTAGAAGTATTTTTTAACTCCTAAAAAACAAAAGATATTATTTATGCAATCAAAAATTAATTTGTAAAAATAATAAATAGAATAAACATAAAAATAGGTATAATATATATATATGTGTGTGTGTGCGTTTTTTTTTTTTTTTGCGATGAGAATAAACATAAATTATGGTCTTGTAACAAAAACATCAAATGCTCTGAGGCTCTTCTAATTGTTGTAAATCATCGCAAAAGATTTAAAACAATGAGATTTAACATTTTTTTATGTACTGAAGACTTAAAAAATAAAATTAATTTTATATATTTTAATATTTTTTAAAACTTTAAAAAATGAAAATTATTTTCAAAAAATAAAAAATTATTTTTAAACTAGTTTTCCAAAAATTCTTAAAAAAAATAAGAGTAAAAGAAAATATAAGGAAATAGATTATTTCATCTCAAATAATATACGAAATTTTGTATCCTTTGAAGTTTGAAGATAAAATTAGTGGATGCATGGTTTTTCATTATTTTTTTCTAAAAATTAATCCTTAATTATGTTATTTGAAACATCTATAATTATTCCAAAGAAATAAACAACATTGGAAAGTTTGATGATGTGTTACTCTCTCCTTCAATTTCACAATTGTGTTCACACTTGAAAATGTTTGAAAAGTTTCTTCTTTTGGTAATTTCTTTAAATCGAAAATTAAAATTAATTAGTGGGAAAAATAAAAGATCCTTATCTTTGTGGGGTCAAGCTGGATTAAAGTTCCACTATTTTATGCATGGGTAATTGTTATGTGCATTTAATATTTAAATGTAAATTTAATACGCTGCACGATAAAAGAAGTTCAAAGAATATGGTCCATTTTGGAGGGTGTGTATATATATCCTATGTGCTGCTTGGTTTTTTCCTTTGGTCATCGCCTTTTGTGATTCTTCACCTCCTCATCCTGTTCTTTTTCGCTATATGTTGCATCTTCATCTTCTCAACCTGTTTTGGTGTCACATATGTACTCCAGATATGATTTCATTAAGGATCTTAATCCGTCGAAGGAGGATTGGAGGATTAAGGTGAGCGTGGTTAGGACTTGGAAGGTTCCTAATTTTCAGCAAAAAGATTTTGACGACAATCTGAACATGGTTCTATTAGACGAGACGGTAATACTTTGTGTTCTGTTAATTCCTTTTTCTTTTCTTTTTTTGTTTTCTTTTCGTTCTTTTTTTTTTACGACTCTTTTGTAAAGGTATCTAATGTATTCCTTTTGTAGGGTGGAAGGATACACGCTACGGTCAAAGGATCTCTACATGTGCGTAAAAATATTTGTGAAGGGGATGTCTATTTTATAAGAAATTTTGGAGTTAGATTAAATAGTGATAATTTCATGCCAACTAGACATGATTATCGTCTGTCTTTCAACTTGAGGACCGATGTTAAATCGACTGTTGATGCTACTATTCGTACTAACGGATTTTGTTTTGTTGATTTTGACGTTATAGAAAGGGAATCAGCTGACTCTCCTCATTTTTGTTTTTGGATTACATTCGGGTATCCCCACAGCCGATAGCCATGAAACTAATCCCTTGCCCCGGGTCAGCGCACAAAGCGGTAAAGAGCTGGCCACAGAATGCTTTCCATTCACAAGAGTTGGGGTTCGAACCCCCAACCACTTGCTTAAGGGACGAGATGCTGAACCATCACGCCCACCCACGTGGTTCTGACTCTCCTCATTTAGTAGGTAATGTTTTTGTCTCTGAGTTTACTGATATATTTAATGTGCTGATGTCATTGATAAATGTTCAACTTCTTTTTCTATAGACGTCATCGGTTTGCTGTTAGGTATTGGGGAAGTTCGTGAGCATGTTGTATCCGGTAGAAAAACAAAGATGGTTGTTTTAGAACTTGACGACCTCAGGTATTTTTGTATGATTGGTGCGAAGTATATTTTCATATGAAATATATTTTTATTTCTTCCAATTGCTTTGTAAATAGGGGTCACAAGCTCGAGGTACTTTGTGGGAACAACATGTGGATAAAGTGCAGTCTTTCTTGGCAAATAATCAGTCTCCTCAAAATCTTGTAATCGTCCAGCTTGCAAGGATTAAGGGTTTCATGGGTATTTTGAATAATTTGTGCTTAATAAATTTCATGTTTATATTTGGTGTGTTTTCGAAATCTCCCTCACTTTCATTTACATCATTGAATAGGTAAGATAGGGATAACGAATACAAAATATACGACGAGGATTCTCTTTGATTCCAGTCTTCTCGAAATTGTAGAATTCAAAAAAAGGTGAGCTTTTTCTTTACCCACTTCGTGCAAAAAAAACATAAAAAAAGAAGAAGAAAAATATGTGTATATGTCTTCAATTAATTGTTGTTTTGAGTATGTATAGTGATTGTTTGCTATTGTGTTGCGTTTTAGGCTTTCGTCTGATCCAATAGCTAACGGTATGAGGTTGACTCAGTTATCCAATCAATCATCGTATTCTTTTGAAAATGATTTTCTGAAAGACACAGAGAGGAAGTCTATTGGTGACATTAGTAATTGCGGTGAGATTACCACTTGCATTACTTATGGAACAATAAAATCAATTGAAAGCAAGTACAACTGGTGGTACAAGTCTTGTAAGAAATGTCCATATTCTGTATGTGAAGATTTTGAAAAATTGTATTGTAAGAATTGTCATAAACATTGGGACGATTATTATCCAAAGTAAGTATTATTTCATGAGCTTTTTTGATTTTGTTATTGAATCGTTGCGCTGCGCAATTATTTGTGGACTGTTGTTTTTCGTATGTGAAAAATTTAGTGTTCAAGTGAGAGTTATGGATGACATGTATTCTGCGTCTTTCATACTATTTGATAGAGATTGTGTTGCTTTATTGGGAATGGGTGCTGCTGAAATACGCAAACAACATTTCAAGCGGGTTTGATACTCATTTCTCGCATTTTGTCATCTATTGTCAATATTTCTACTTTGGAATTCCTTTTGAGGTTTTTTCTTTTTCTTTTTTCTTTTTCTTTTGTAGGGTGCTGATTTAGAGCTTTATCCCGAAGAACTTAACATTCTTAACGAGAAATCCATGTTATTTAAGGTCAATATGAAAAAAAGCATGTAGACTCATTGAACGAGCCAAAATATCAAGTTTCAAGAGTTTGCAGCACGAATCTATTATCAAGTCATTTCTTAAGTCTGTGATGGAATCAAATGTATGTTGTTTTAATTTAAATTCATAGTTTTATTGCATTTTTTATTTTTGTATGTTTCTTATTTTACTTGGTTTATTGAGATTAAATTTATACGTTATAAAAAAAAATGCAGGATGAGACCACATTCGATAATACATACGACAATGATGTTGTATCACAGGAACGAGGATGTGTTGTGGTATCTAAACATCTATTATCATAATCAATCAAATAAATATTGTGTCCATTTTTAATTACAGACAATTGTGAATATTTCGTAATATTTTGATTTGTTACCAGGATGTTGAGAGTCAAACTTGTGAAAGTATAGGTGATGCAGACAAAATTTTAATAATGGCGTTGAGGACAAATGTAATTCTTCTATTGTCCGTCCTTTGAAAAAGATTAAACTAGAGAAAGAGTTAAGTGCTTGCCTGTTAATTCTTACTTTGTTCTGTACTTTATTCATTTAAATTATAAGCATTATTTGTTTAAACACTGACACACGGGGATTAATTTTTTTGAAATAGGTTTGATGGTGAAGTTGGAGACACAAAATTGGAGGAAGGAAATCTGTGACTTATTACGTCGTGTATGGACCGATAAGTAGAGTGTGTGGTGGAAAAGAGATTTTGATTAAACAGTGAATGGTTGCAAATGTTTTGCAAAGTCTTATGATGCATGGGCATAACAAAATGCTATATTTCTAGAGATATTGCTCCATTATATACAACAATGTTTGAATGGAGTAAAATATAATTATATATTTGCTGTACAAGTAAGGATGTCCTTCGCTGTTAAATACGTGGTGACTTTTTTTAAACATATCTTTAAAAAAAACAATATGTCCAGACCGTGTAAATTCAGACAAATTTTTTTATCATTGCAATTATGTAAATGAGAGTGGATGGAGATTGCTTAACGTGGAATTGCTTAACCAGTAGAATGGGGTTCTGAATAATTAATCAATTGTTATACTTCATAGTTAATAATAATGGGTTTAAATGTTGTTACCATTGATGTTTCATGTGATAACTTAAAAAGTCTCTGTTATTGAATGCCTTTGAATTTTTTAAACAATTACTGATGGACACATTGGAAAACGAAATGCCTCATGTGTGTGAATTATAATACCATTAATTGCTAAACCTATTAGGAGATAGTTGTTTCACTTGAAGTAAATGGTCATTAAGAATAAGTGGAGCTTCTTTGGAATTTTAACATTTTGTAAATGCAATCAATACACAGCAGACCATCTATGTGAATTATAATACCATGCGATTATGTAAATGAGAGTGGATGAAAATTGCTTAACGTGGAATTGCTTAACAAGTAGAATGGGGTTCTGAATAATTAATGAACTGTTGTACTTCATAGTTCATAATAATGGGATTAGATGTTGTTACCAATGATATTCCATGTGATATCTTGAAAAGTCCCTATTATTGAATGCCTTTGGATTTTTAAATCAATGGCTGATGGATGCATTGGAAAATGAAAAGCCTCACGTGTGTGAATTATAATACCATTAATTGCTAAACCTATTAGGAGATAGTTGTTTCACTTGAAGTAAATGGTCATTAAGAATAAGTGGAACTTCTTTGGAATTTTAACATTTTGTAAATGCACGTAGTACACAACAGACCGTGGTTTGGGTTTCCATCGTTATTCATTAAATTTTTTGTATTCAAAGGGAGGGAAAATGACACTCTTCAATTTTAACGAAATATCTATGCATGATGAGTCGATAACCCAACTCCATTTAATTATTCCTTTTGTAAGCCCTAAACCATTCAACTTCTCCATCTTAAATGGGCATTTTATCATTAAATATTTAGGACAATACCGGTGAATGGGAGAATGTTTTACACATTTCAACTGATATCCTTTAATGCAATTTTCTTTTCTCGATAAAGCGTAACGAATAGTCATGGAAGATGAACTTCATTAATTTGTTATAAATAATGCTTAACTCCTCAAAGGAGGGTGCAATCATTATTAATAACAATTCAGCTAACTTCCTTTTGTCAGTTGTTTAGGCTTTGATCGATGGCTGGTTCTTCTTCTGGAAAGCAGATGATGATTGAGAAGGAACAAGAGGAGTGTATCAAATCTCTTCCGTACGATTTGTTGTTGGAAATTTCTGCATGGGTGGCAGCTGGTGGGATCGTTGATATCTACATGCTTCAACTAACTTGCAAGGAATTTAGTCATTTTCTATAGGACGACTATTTATGGACACGTACAATACAACTTCTGCTGTATGGAGATAATTGAGATGTACAACAACTTCCTCATGTGTGGGTGAAGTTTTGTTATCAGAAAGTCTTCGGAATAAATAAGCATGATGTTTTGATATATCAAATGATTCATTTTTTAGCTTTTTAAATAATTTTATTCCCATTTCTTTAAATGAACGTAAATAGCCTTTTTTACATTAAATTGGAAGTTCTTAAGTCTTGAATGGTTTATGTCTATTGGAAGTTTAAATCTCCAAATGTTGTGTCTCTATGTGAACTGATTTATCAAAGCTTATAAAAGTTGGCGAGATAAATATCATTCTTGAACCTACCCTACTCTTAGAAAAAGTTTTCTACTGATTTACAAAAAAAAAAATGATATGACGAAAAATACTTCTGACATCAAAATGCTTCCAAGAGATTTGTGGTTATATATTTTCGCAAATGTTGCCTCTCATCAATTGAGGACATTTGCAACGTAAAATTGGGCTGCAAATATTTCTAACAGATAGCGGAACACAATTTTGTTTACAGGCATGTTTCGTTGAATAAGTTTGCAAAATCTGACTTGGAATGGATTACCCGGTATGTGTTTCGTTTCGGGGATGAAGATGAATCAGTGTACAACGTTTGAGTGTTTGAATTTGAATTGTATGAATTTGAATTGTGTCAATTGAAAAGGTTCAACAAGGAGCGAGAGGTGAAATTCTTGAAACGTTGCTATGAGAGTGGCAACCCACTGATGATGCTTGGAAATTGAAATGATTTTGACGGCAATCTGTTACCTGTCCTTAGTTTTCTTTGTTGTTGTTTTACGAGTACTAGTGTAAGATAATCATGTCAATGTTTAGTCTTTTAAAATTACTTGGATGTAATCATATCCACAATGATGTGAATGCAGTCTTGAAATACTAATATTCATTATTTTATGCTATTACAAAACAACTTCATTGTATGCAATGCCCTTTGCACTTCGTTATCAGTTGATTATGGTTCCAACAGGGTCAACGTTTGATGAGTTAATTGTATGCTGTTGAATAATTAATGGGGAAAATGTATTATTAAGTTGAATACAAAGAGTTTAGCATAGATGAATTGAACAACACATATCCCAAATGATAATTTATTGCACATCAATTCTAAACCATTATACATCGAAAATATGGAAATTTAAGAATCTAAATTATTAAAACTTTAAAAATGGGATGTGTTAATTGAACACGACAATTGGTCCATGTTCAATTTGTCTATATTCATTTGAACCATTTCATTTGAACCATTTAAACGTCTTAACTTTGTATTAAATGACAAATCATCGTTTAACGTAAATGTCAAATGGAAAGAGTTAAAGGTTTAATTATGGTTTCATGCGTTACGTTTTTTATAAACAGCCCATGCTTAAACGTCGTAATTAAGCCTTGGTCCAAACGATGAATTCAATTACTTTTTTCAAAGTTAGTTGAGTATTTCAATCGTTGTTTCTTCCCTTCAAACAACTCATGCTTCATTATATATAGATTAGTTCAATAAGCCCATTACATTTTTCTATCAACTATAATTAAAATTGTTCATCTTTTCCCTATTCAATGGCTTCATCTTCTGTCAAACGTGTAAGAGTTGTGAATCGCGATCCTGAATCCCTACAGAGTCTTCCATCGGAATTATTACTCGTGATATTTAGAAAAGTGGCCTCTCATTCCATTGAGGATGTATCCAATGTCAAAATTGCTTGCAAGGAATTTCTTCATCTTGCCGAAAGTGATTATGTATATGAACGTGTTTCGTTGAAAAAGTTTGCGCTGGGGCCATTAGAATGGATTACCGATCAAAAACTGTTTCTTCATCAAGTAGAGAGTAACTGTGTTGATGACCATGGATCGGAGAACAGAGAAAATGTATCTGAACAATACTTTAATCGCGTGCAAGGGTTCAACAAACGAAGGCAAATAAAATCCTTGGAACGTTGCAGGGAGAGCAGCAACGCTGAAGTTTTGTATCGTGAATGATTGGTACAATATTTTCGAGAGACATCCAGTACTCAGACGGTTGTGTTGGCTCTTGAAAGAATTAAAACCGCAGCACTAAAAGGTCATGAAGATGCCAAGTATCTTTATTGCATGATATTAATGACGATGGATGATGACAATCAAAGAAATTTGGGATTTCAAATTTTTTGTTCTCTAGATAAGTCGAACAATTTACAACAATGTAGAAAACGTGTGAAATGTTTTGTCTTAGGCTTGTGGGTAGGGGTGTCAATACGGGTTGACCCGACACGAATTCGACACGACACGAATACATCAACACGAACACAACACGGATTTTTATTCGTGTCAAAATCTTCAACACTGACACGACACGAATTTTTTGCGTGTTAACACGACATGACACGAATAACACGGAAAATATGGGTCAAAACGGTAATTGATAAAAAAATTTAAAAAAATATATCGAAAATAAAAATTTTAAAAAATAATAAAAAAAAAAAATACGGGTCAACACGAACACGAATTCATAAACACGAACACGACACGAATTTTTTTACGGGTCAACCCGAACAAGAATTTTCGTGTCGTGTCGCGGGTCGACCCGCGTGTCAAAACCTATATTGACACCCCTACTTGTGGGTGCATAGAGAAATCGTTCAAAATCCTAATTTAGCAACCTTCTGCAATTACAAAACATGCAAATTGACATCGGTTTCTGATGTAATGTCTCCGTGGGACAATGATGGAGATAAGAATGATAGTTTTGTTACATGTCAATTTTGCAATGCAGATTTTGAATTTTATTTGTTTTGTGTAATGACGATAGTCTAATTTTATTTCTTAGGATGATAAGTTTTAAATTCGAGTCTTTGTATTCCTTCTTCTGATGTTGAAGGAACGGTGGTGAAGACTTAAAGTGTTGCATTATATCTTTCTGGTGTTATGTAATTTGTACCCGTTTCGGAATATATTAAGTGAAGTTTGCATAATACTTTTCTTATATCCATTGAAATAAATAAATCATTATAATGCAATTATCGTCGTAATAATTATCTACAACATGAAAAGTTCTAAACATTATTCATTGCTCATTTTAAAAGAAAAAATATAAAATGGTTAGTACGGCAATGGACGCAACTCTGCAACCATGTCGTAATGAAATTTTGTGTGT